GATTTGATAAAATCTTTTGTTTGGATGTCATCACTAAATGCAAGGATTTGAAATCACAGATTTAAAATCTGATGTTTGGATGCACTTTATTATACATGAATTTGGATTTAAAATTGGTGTTTTAAAAAAAAATTATGCTCTCTCTTAACTCCTTAATAATTAAATCAAATGCGGACATTATGGTTTATATTGAGGAAAAAGTTAGGGTAAATTTCACGACCCCCTCAGAAGTTTGATCTCTTCATTAGCAATTATAAATATACATGCAAACATCTTGTCCTTCATGAATCGGTATGAGAGAATACAAAAAATAATAATAATGTCCAAAATATTTATTATTACGCCATTTTTTCATGGCTTCATCCAATACTACATCAACCTTCAATCTCCAAAGAACAAGAGTACTACTCCAATAACTAGCCATGATAAAAGACTCGACGAGTCAAAAGAGTTTAGCAAACACTCCTCATAAGAAGCTCTACACTCCACAATAATCCTTCATTTAAAACACAACATACCATAGGTAGTTGATAACCATGATTTGCTATAAGAAGTAACCATGAGTTGCTACAACAAGCCAAATTACGACAACATAAACTATTAAAATAAAACATATCTAGAATCCTCTATTTATCCTTCACGTCTTCTCCTCTTTTCTCTCCAATGCGCCCAACTTCATGTCTCGAAGAATTTGAGTCCTACATTACACAATTTAGCATCAATTAGTCCACGTCACAAAAATCGAACTTAAAAAAAAACAAGTACAGGATTGTATACATTCTGTATTCTGATGGAGATGCTAGTATATAAAACTTATACAAAAATAAATCCGACAAGTATAAAAAAATGAATATAGCAAGTACAAACAAGTAATATCATGTTATTATTACATCATCTACTTCTAGGCATGACATCAACAAAGCATATCTGCTTGTGATTTCGATTAAGTTTCACATAAACTAATCCATGCATAAACACTTAAAAATGTGAGTTTATCATCATCAGGGCCCAAAGTATCAGCCTTCAGTTTCACAACCCATGTCTAAAAGAGTCAGGGAGCAAATCCCAGCCATAGTACTCAAAATTTAGGGATCAATTTTAAAATTAATAAAACCAGTCGAATAAAGATAGCATCACTCACTCCAAAAGTCACAACTATAAGTTTGCTTCCTGGCACAATGAAATTTTAAATCACTTGATACCTTATAAAATCTATGCCAATCTATGCCAAAATTACTATCAGATTTACATGAATAAATGTAAATATATGATAGAGCTGACTCATCTTCTGCCACTGGAATCAAGGCATCCAGCCACAAAATGAGAACCTACACACGCACCCCAACACAGTTAACGACGCTTCAACGTACATAGAGTCTAAGTTTAAGGATAAGAGTAAAGATGTAAAATGTTTCTACAGCAGCAAAAGCATCCACCCAAGAATAACTTCCATCTTTGACAAAAGTCAGAACAACGATAGATATGTTTACAGGTTCATTCATTCCAGCGGAAAAAAGTCTATAACATTCAATCCTTTTATCACTCCATCCCAACAAAAGAAATATGAAACAGCCAAACAAAGCAAACAAATCTTCAAACAATTCCAACCCCCCACCCAACACACACACACACAAACCAACCGCCATCAGGCGTAGTTCAGCCTGAATATGTCATTCAGTACATATTCAGGAGAAAAGTGTTGGTAAACTGAAAGAGGGAACACAAACAGGAGAAAAGTGTTGGTAAACTCATTAGCTGAATGCAGGCACAAAGAACAGATCAAATACAAATGATTAATCACCTAAACGAAACCCTAGATTTGATAAAGTACCATCAGTACAGAACAAGAAAACCAACAAGAGAAGTATGGAAACAAAAAGAACTATAATGTCATGCATCATGGTAATTGCTAATTAAAAGGTGATTATTTTCAAGTGGGGGCCATTTGAATGAGTGGATGGAAATGAGTCACCTCATTACCAAGCAAATGACTGTATAAGAGTAATACTGTAATAGAAACGACAAACAGGAACTCATTTTCAACAACGTAGGTGAGACTAGCTGAATGTGTTAAATCAATGCAGATGCCAACAAGAGTAACACTTGTACAAGCTCATTCTTCTCAATAAATATTGCTCACTCAAAATCATACCAGGAGTCATCGTTAAAAATGTGAAATTATATTCCTGCATCCATCAATCCTCAAAAGTGCGAACTATAATCTACACAAAAATTGTGAATCCAATTCTATTCAGTGATAAAAAAGGTGGCATAGGCAAGACTCAAGAGCCTTAAGCCAGTAAGGAGCCTGCATCGATACTTATATGAATTCATTTTCCATCAATTTCATTGCATAGGGTAAAAGCAAAAGGCATAGGAACTTACATTCTTTGAATCAGTATATGAACTTTATTTCTTTGAATCAGTATATGAATTCATTTTCCATCAATTTCATTGCATACCTGCAGTATTGGCAACTTCATATTAATTCTCAAATGTATTCTCAAAGGATGTGATCGATGTTGGTGAATATCCTGCAGTATTGGCAACTTCATATTAATTCTCGGATTTCATGTGTATTCTAGGGGTCTGTTTGGCGATTCAACTTAAACGGGCTAGGATTAATCCAGATACCAGTTTAATAACATAGTTTTATATCCAGATATCAAGGTTTGATACCCAGGATCACATCTCTTTGTCACTAAGTTAGGATCCTAAGCCAACATAGATGCTATCAAAATCAATACCCATGCTGCAGACTTCTATTTCCCACTTTAACAAGCTCATTTGGTTGTTGGTAACTAAAAGATGGTGCCTCATAGACTGATTAAGAACAAATACCCATGCTGCAGACATATAACCTCCTCATTCTGCTCGGTTTGGGCTTTAACAAATGATAAACTAAGAATAATAATGGGTAAATTTCACTAAACCGGTATGAACTTTCAGCATTTTGCAATAAAACTCCAATATTTGTCAAAATCACATAAACCTCCCAAGAACAGTAAAAAATCACATAAACATGAATCGCTTACTTCTAGTATGAATCTCCTCCTGCAAGTCGCTGACAGTAGCCTGTAAATCCCAAAAAAAAAAAAAAAATCAGACGAAACCCAAAACTAACTCTAGATCTAGGAGACCAACTGAAAGAGAGGAAACAAGCTACAAAAGAGAAAATCCAAGTCAGAACTAGGGTTTCGATGGAAGGGGGAGAGAGAGGAGTAAGGGGGAGACCGAAACCCTAGATCAGATCTAGGGTTTCAATGAGAGAGGAGAAGGGGAGTAGAGATACCTGCGTTGCTGCGTTGAGAGAGAGAGAGATTCGAGATCGGTCGGAGCTGAGAAACGAGAGAGAGGAGGAGTCGGGATCGGTCGGAGCTGAGAAACGAGAGAGAGGAGTCGGGGATCGTCGGAGCTGAGAAACGAGAGAGGAGTTTGGGATCGGGATTTGGTAAATGACAAGGGGTAGGGTAGGATTTTAAATACGGGTTTTTGGGCTTTCAAATTCTCTTTTTAAAATAATTTGATTTGAAATTCTAGCTCAATTTTGTAGCCCAAACTAGGGATTTGGATTTGAAATACCTTGAATTTAAAATCCAGGGCCCAAATCCATGTTCCCAAACACAGCCTAAAGATATTCCTAAACTCGGTTGTTGTAGTATCTTCCACCCACCGAAATCAATCTAAAAAAGGTCATGAGAGGGTTTGAGTGCTTCCCCCTCCTTAAGTTGCCAAATAACACATAATTTATTTCTCCTACTTTATACATACGAGAAGTAAAAAGCATAAAACAGTGATGCGAAAGGAAATATTATAGTTGTATTTTATATTTTTAATGTACGGTTAACAAGTTACATTGTCATTGGGTATCTGATTTCCTACAAAAAGGTGAATTTCTTCGGTGAAGTAGTACAAGAAATGAAGGAGAGCTTGATGACCACTTCCCCTGGCCAAGACAAGATGGCATTGGCTTTGATCTCTATTGGAAATTTCTTCTGCAATAAATAAAGTTAGAAATATTAGAATGGGTGCAAATTTTCCAAAGTACATGTGGCTTATTATTATATATGATTCTTTTTGCAAAAAAAAAAAAAAAGAAAAAGAAAAGAAAAAGAAAAGAAAACTCTTGAATGTTTATATATAAGGAACCTTTTTTTTAGGAAACCTTCCAAAAACTTACTTGTTTTGTAGAAATTCACTTTAGCAATACAAAAAAAATATAATTTCATATGAGAAACACTTAAATTTGATAGAGATCCTTACGAAAAAGAGAGATTTTGGGCTTAGGCTTTGCAAGGAATTTTCCATAAACTAAAATCGATTTTCTAAATTAGGAGTGATGCTTTAATTAATTTATGATGTTTCTTTTGAACACACACGAAGTTTGAAATATTAGGAGGTTTTAACCGGCAGGGTTAGCACAGCAGAGGAAGGCCTCGCTGCGATCTTGTTGGTAGACGATCCATAGCTGGCTAGTCTCGTTTCTGAATTTCCTAGCAAGTAAGAAAACTCTCGGGCCACTACTAGCCATGAAGTGCGAGTAGAGATTAGTCCCATCCATAACAAGGTGTGGGGATATCTCGTGGGGGAAAAAAGGGGATTACGAGGTTTCATATTTTTTGTGAAATTAAAAAAGGTTTAGTTTCACAAAACCCTTCTGAACGTTGGGTGGTGTTGAACATGACCCATTGAACTTTGTTTATCTCACATTACCCCATTGAACTATTAGGTGTCTCACAAAACCCCCGAACTTTAATTTACCTCGTATAATCCTCTGCCAATAATTTACAAATAACTAAAACATTTGAGTGAAAAACTCCCAAACGTAGGCACCATATTCATTCCCCAAAGCTTTGAGTTTTTAATTCTCAAGACTATATTAGTTATTTGCAAATTACGGACGCAGGGTTATTAGGTGAGGTACGCTGAAGTTCAGGGGGGGTTTTGTGTTTTGTGATATTGTCGTTATTTTTTCGTAAATCTATTATGATGGGGGACTTCCCTGCAAAACACTGCGGCGTCGATGGCACGGGGGTTTTAGGAGTTTTTCTGCTACTGTTGAATTTATACCTACACGTTTTAATTCTGAACTTCCCCCTTTGCATCGCCGATCGTCGCTCCCCCCAAAAAAAAAAATGGTACGGACTCTTCAAAGCCTTGGCTCTTGGTATTTTCCCTTTTGTTTCTAGGGTTTCGAATTCTTTGGATACATGCGTTGTAGAGCGAGATCTGTGGTCTTGGACTCGAAATTAGTTTGATGTGCTTTGTTGTTTGATTGTTCTGGAAACTCTTCTTAATTTATTGAGTGGCCAACGTGTTAAATTAGTTCTAGAATTTGGTTTGAATGTGTCGATTTGTTGTCCTATTCATCAATTTGGGCTTCGGATTAGTGTAATTTGGACAAGAATTAGTATCCTTTTTTTTTGTTGCATGACGTTAACTGCTTTAAATTTTCGTCGATTTGAGCATTGTTATATTGATTGAATACATCTGCAGAAATATGATACCAGTAGGTTTGTTTGTGTTACTTCCTTTATTTCCTTGCTTAGTGAATGTAGGATTTCTGTAGTTTTTTGAAGCACCTTAGTGGGTATCTAGTCAAATAGCTACTTCCTGGATGCTACTTCTACGACAATGCTCGAAGTGCAACCATCCTCCTCATATATGGAGAGGTATCGATTGTGTGATTGAGCTGAGCGAACTAAAATTTTTGACTGGTAAATTGATGGCATGACCAGTTCAAATCCTTTTGTATGGATTTCTCTTGGTAGTACCAAATATTGATGATATCCTTACTTTCATGGATGGTTTGATCAGTGTAGGTCCACCCTGGCTTTCCAAAGCAGTCATACCAGTCTACTCTATCAAAGCTGACCTTTTACTGACACTGTCAGCTGTAATATCTACATATCCTTTTGCATAGTCAACACGATCTCCCTTCTAGTAGGGGTCGGGTTGCGCAGGTTTGAGTCCAATTTTCATTGCTCGTGTATAAATCTCCTATGTTGCTTGAAACCCTATAGGTAAGGAAACTTCTTTATCAAAAATTCTTCTAACTTGTTCAGGTTGTATTGGACAGATTTGATGGATCTGAATATGGTGGCCAGTTAATCAGGAATGAGTCTGACGGCAACAGTCGGATCTTTCGATCTTCTATTAAAATTAGACTGGGGGAATGAATATGGGTCTACAGAATATTACAAGTCTAAAACAGTAATATAATACTGATTTCATGTACATACTTCATACTAGGAGGCAAACACAAGCACGCAACTTACGTAACTTAATAAGCAAGTATAATTGATCGTTAAGCTGGAGCATATTAGAACTTCATGATACTGTAGTTGGTTAATTGCGGATATACCCCTATACTATCGCCAAATTGAACTTATTACCCTTGTTGTTCTATTGTTGCAGATAGACCTCTCAGTGAATTTTTTTTGACCCTTTTCGTTGGTCTATCTGAAACAGTAGATTTTCATTGAGGGGGTCTATCTGCAGCAATAGAACTGCTGGAGTACTAACTTCAATTTGGTGATAGTAAGGGAATCTATCCACCGTTAAACCCTATTATAATTCACAAACAGATAACAAGAATAAGAGCCCAAGGAACATAATCCCAGTAGCCCTTTATTTTGGAAAAGAATGGTTTGAATAAAAAATTCTTTCTCTTTTGTGTGTGTGTTAATGCTCGTGTACATACAATAATCAGGCTTGTGTAAAATCCCTTGTGGAAGTTAGGTGTGGATTGAGTCACATAAGTCAGTCTTAGGGGTGTGCAACGGTCGGTTCGGTTCGGTTTTTACCAAAATTTGAACAACCGAACCGAACCGTCTATAATTCAAAACCGAACCGAACTGTTGCAAGTCGGTTCGGTGTGGTTCGGTTCGGTTCTAACTTCATCAAACTTCTTATCAAACAACAAACTATGTTAAAGAAAAAAAAATATCAACAAAGTAGGAGATTATAAAATATTAGACACTGATATAATAATATTATTTTTAACCCATAATGATTCAGAAAATGGGTTTAGGGTTTGAGTCTTTGATTCTTTGGGGACGGGTCGGGTAGGGTTTGAGATCAGAATGGATAGTATTGTACTATATTCGGTCGGTTCGGGTCGGTTCGGGTTGAAAAGTTTTCAAACCGACCCAAACTGTCCTACTCATAAAACCGATTTTTTCGGGTCGGTTCGGGTTGGTTCGGTCGGGTTTTTTCGGTTTGGATCGAACCATGCTCAGCCCTAGTCAGTCTGGTCAATACTTGGGCCTAGAAATGTAAAATTGTTCATTCAAACTCATTTGGGTCGAAAAAGTTGTGAAACAAACCTGCTTTTTGGGTTTGGTTTAGGTATCCCCTTGACACCCCTATCTCTTAGTTGACTTGGTGTCATGCACCTGATCCACTAGCAAAAATGGGTTTCCACTCTAGTTCTCATGAATGAGTGGATTTCATCTATGCACCGGAATGAATAAAACAAGCTTCCTAATAACTGCAATGATTTTCTCATGTCTTTTGGTTCTTTGGTATCCTAAGAATTTCCTCAAGCTCCAATCTCCACTGTTTGTACCAAAGATAATGACATCTTCTTAATCAAATACAATACTATGGTCTTTGTTAGATGTCATGAGTTATGTAATATGTGGATATGTGGGTTATTGGATATCCGTTTAGTGTGGATGTTACAAGCTCTATATATATGTAATCCCTCTCTAATCAATGGTTAAGCTTCTTTCTCCTAACATGGTATCAAGTTAAAAAAAACCTAGAGCAGCCGCCATCCACATTCCTTCCAACCAGGCCATCTCTGCCACCTCTCCTCCTCTCTCTGGCCCTTTCTACCGCCTTCCCACCACCCTCCGACCACCCCCATTTTCATTGTCGGCCAACCAGACCAGAACCAATGTCCTGAGCACCTTGGCTACCTGGTTTGAGGCCTTGGTTTAGGCCAATTAGCCCCCTAAAATCCTTCTTCTTGCTACTCTGGGGTCTTCTATGGTGTGCATGACCCCCTCGTGACTGTCCGTGCCTATTAGTGTGTCCCTGTCTGCTGCCTACCCTTCATGGTCTCTTCCTCCAATACCTTCTATGATGCGTGGTTGAGGAATCTCAGCGGTACATCCATCAAGTTGAATGGAAAGAACTATCTTTTGTGGGCCTAAGCATTTAAAGTGTTTCTCGGTGCTCATCGGAAGATCAAGCACATTACTCAAGATCCACCTGATGCGTAAGATGTCACCTACGAATGCTGGTTTGCTAATGACTGTGGGGTGATTTCCTGGCTTATGAGCAGTATGAAGGAAAATATTTCTTATAATGTGATGATGCTCAAGCCGACAAAGAAGATTTGGGATACACTGAAGAGTACCTATGACAATGAGAAAAACATCTCACGTGTATGTGAACTCTATGAATTGTGACACCCTTACTTTAGTCTCACATGAACTAGTGTGAAGAAATATTAGTGGTTTAAATAAAAAAATCCAAAGCCCAAGAACAACTAGTGCTAGTATTTTGGCAGTGAACTTTAGTCAACATTGAATTGCTCTCGGTGGGTCCCACGACTTGCACGCGCCAATAGGCCCGTAGGCCCGTTGCGTGACAAAATGATATCGGAACAGTTACCAGCCAAAAGTGTGAAGCTAAGTGCTATACGGGGCTATGTGTTACACTGTGTGGATGCGGTGTGAGCCACCTCTAGAGCCCGTAGGAGCTACCTCTAGAGTTCACATCACCTGACAGTGACACTGAGATGTGCCAATTATCATATCGTAACGACGGGGACGTCATCTTTGTAAGATGGAGTGATTGTGACATCCCCACTTTAGTCCCACATGGACTAGTATGAAGAAATATTAGTGATTTAAATAGAGAAAAGCCCAAGACCCAAAAATGACTAGTGCTAGTATTTTGACAGTGGACTTTAGTCAATATCGAGTTGTTTTCGGTGGGTCCAACGGCTTGCATGCGCCAACGGGCCCATGGGCCCGGAACATGACAATGAACAATTATTCACTTTACAGCAAGGAGACCAATCAGTTCAAGACCTTTATACCTCTCTTCGGGCACTACTAGATGAGTTGGAGGTCTACTAACCGTTTGTTGCTGACATCGCCAAGATGAGGGAGTGTTGTGAAGAACTTGCGGTGGCAAAATTCCTGTCTGCACTCAAGCCCGACATCGTCTCTTAGATATGTGGATAGATCCTTAGAGGTGACACTATACCATCATTGTTGACGGCCTTTTCTCGTGTTATATGGATCTCCACCGACGCTTCTTCTCCACACACCGACTAGTCTACCTTGGTCATTTATGGACGTGGATGTGGCCGTGGATGTGGCTGCAGTTGTGACTCGGGGGGAGGACGTGGTGTTGGTCGTGAGAATCAGAAGTGAGTGTGATGTGGCCGCACCTACCATATCTTTGAAAAGTGTTGGGATAAATTTGGCAAATCAGAGTGGGCTCAACAAGCTGCTGTATCTACTGATCCATCACAAGAACAACTTGAAGTGATAGACTCTGTGACTATCTTTCAGGCTGAGTATGACAAATTGGTTCAATCTGCTAAAGCCGCAGCTCTCGTTGCTACCATGCTGCTCCATCAAGTATGCATGCCGACTATACATCTCTTGCTGAGGACTAGGTTGTTGATTCAGGAGCGTCAAAGCATATGTCTGGTACAAAACGAGTCTTTTCTTCTTTATCGTCTTCTACTTCCATTCCTTCTGTTAGTGTTGCTAATGAAACTCAATCTCGTGTGGTTGGTTAGGGTGTGGCGCCTCTTCGAAATACACTAACTCTTCACGATGTTCTTTATGTTCCAAATTTCCCTATCAATCTTCTTTCTGTTAGTCAAATTACAAAAGATCTTCAATGTGCCGTAACTTTTTCTTCCTATGTTCTTATGCAGGATTTGCGAACTGGGAGATGGATTGGTTCAAGACCTAAAAGGTGTGGCTTGTACCATCTCCGCAGTGCCCAATAGTCTAATGGCTCGGCTTATACCTCCATGTTTATGGATTTTTCCTATTTATGGCATTGTCGTTTGGGGCACCCGTCTATTGCAAAGCTTAAGAGTATTCTTTCTATGTCGTCGTCTTTTAGTCCTTTTAATTGTGAATCATGTCAACTTGGGAAACACACAAGGTCTTCTTATTCTCCATCTCAAGAGAATCATAGTGCTGCTACCATGGAGTTAGTTCATTCAGATGTCTGGGGTTCATGTCGTGTCGAGTCTGTCTTGGGTTTTAGTTATTTTGTGGGCCTTTATAGATGACTTCTTTTGTATGAGTTGGTCTATCTTATCAAAGACAGAACTCAAGTAGCTAATGTAATAAAGGTTTTTTTTCAATGAAATGGAAACTCAATTTTCTGAGCTATTACGTGTCTTTCGTACTGATAATGCTCTTGAGTATGTGCACCGTGATGTCTCCCTTCTTTGTGGATCCCAGAGCATTCTTCATCAAACCTCTTATCCTCGAACCTCCCTACAGAACGGTGTTGTTGAGCATAAACATTGTCATCTGTTGCATGTTACCTGGACAATCATGATGCAGATGAACGTTCCTAAGACTTTGTGGGCTGATGTTGTACTTACTGCTTGCCATCTCATCAATAGAATGCATTCTTCTGTTCATAGTCAGGTTCCCCATTGTTTTCTATTTCCTCAAAAGAAATTGTTCCCTCCGAAGGTCTTGGGTTGTGTGTTTTGTCCATGATACTTGTCCCAATCTGGACAAGCTCTCTCCTCCATCAGATGTACGTTTGTTGGTTACTCTCGCACTCAAAAAGGTTATCATTGTTTTGATCCAGTCAACCGAGAATATTATGTTTTGGCTGATGTCACCTTCTTTAAGAGTGTTCCTTCTTCTAGTTCTACGCCAGATGATGCCCATATTCCTTGCCACTTGCTATTCCGGTTGAGGATCTTGTTCCAACATCTCCTTCTATTTCTTCTACAGTCAATCCCTCAGACAAGAATTTAAAGTTTTACTCCAGGCGGAAGAAGAAAAATCAGCCTAGCCAAGATGGTCCCTTCAATCCTCCGTCCTCTGATGTAGGTTGCTATACCACAACTTCTCCCATTGTTATTCCTGATAATGACCTTCTATTGCACTGAGGAAAGGTAAACGTTCCACTGCAAAGTCATGTCTTCATACCAGAGAAAGGAAAGGTAAACGTTCCACTGCAAAGTCATGTCTTCATACCAGAGAAGGGAAATGTGATGGAAAAGAGTTGAGTACAAGTTTTTATGGAGATAGTATATATTTGAATTGAATGATCTCCTTCCACTCCTTCAATGATCTACTTCCGATTCCTTCCAAAAATAGCAAGCCTTGTGTGTGTATGTACATAGGTAGAGGAAGACAGACACAGTGAGGGAGAGAGCTGTCTTACTGAATTCTGTTTTTTTAAGTTGAATTGGATCGACCATCCTCATGCTTAAGGCAATGCTAAATGTTTTGCAACACTGTACTTGTGCCTTCCAATTGTGGACATTTCAGTAATTAGCGACTTCATTACCACTCAGGCTCCTTGCTTAGATTTCCACAACCGTTGATTTTGGTTCTTCGCTTTCTGTAAGTCCGACCGCTTATTTTATTATAATTACTTGTTGATGCAGCTTAGATTTTATGTGTATCTAAGTGAAGCAGAATTTAATTTTTTGAAAATTTATTCCCTATTAGAGGGTATTAGATCATGTGTTTAGTTCGTTTATCCAAAAAGCTCATAGTTTTGTCATTTTTATTCATGATCAGTTATGAATATGAGTAATCATGTTTTATCATGTATTAGCCTGAAAGAAGGCTGGATTTATAGGAAAGGATGGTTCAGGATGATTTGAAATATTTGAATTAATGTAACCTTAGATTTTTAAGGCGTTTGTTTGTTCCTTGAATATGATATAGAAAACAATAAAAAGGTGGTTACTTTGGGCTCAAACAAATAATTTAAGAGGTTGCTTTCTGTCCACAAGTTGCTTGTAATGGAACAGTGGAAGAGTAAAGGACTAGAATATTTTTTAAGGACTTTTAACTGTTCTCTAGATATGAACAATGAAGCAAAGCAGGAGAAGGTTAGAAGATAGGGAATTGAAACAATAACTCAAATTATCATTAATCTTTTCTCATCAGATGGAAAAAGATTGTCAGTGTTGGGAGATGAAGCTTGCCTTCCTGAACAGTAAGGTCTTCTTGTTATCCTCCTCTCTACTTATATATTTTTCTCGTAATTCCCTCTTCCCTTTTTCTTCTTTGGTCATACATGGATGTGTTTTTTATGCACAATTTTTGTTATATATTAAGGAGACATGTTCGTTTATTTATTGTATTTGGCTTGGGCGAGAGGTGCATCTAACCTACCTACCTGATATTTCTTTGCATTTATCATGTACTACGGCAATTTTCTTCTAAGATGTGGTATATCAGGTGACTAGAAAAAATCAGCACTTTGGTCCGCATGGCCATGCTCAAGCTTCTGCTCTGTAATTTGACACTGCTGGATCTAGTAATGGCATGTAATTGTGTAAATTAAAGAAAATATTCTGTGAGCGAAGCCTGTTATTCAAGATGACAATGCAGATAAGTAGATGACACTGTATCTTTGAAAAATTAGGAAAAAGTGAAACCATAAAATAGTTTCATGAATTGATGTTTACCATAGGTTTTCACCGCATCTAATCCAAATTTGTCTGCTAGAATTTAATTGTGTTTGGTGTTTTATAATTTTTAATCCTTTATGCTTGTGCATGCAGGAGTTTTGCCCTTCAATCAAAAACATTCTCCTCCTCGATTCTGAAGGAAAACGTGTTGCTGCTAAGTACTGTACAGATGATTGGCCAACTAATGCTGCGAAGCTAGCATTTGAGAAATCTGTGTTTACCAAGACTCAGAAGGCAAATGCTCGAAGTGAAGGTAACGTATGTCCGAACCTTGTGTCTTGTGCTAGCATATGCTAAAATAGGATTGGCTTTGGAGCAGAAGTGAGAAGGCTCATCACTGATTTGATATCATTTTCAACTGTTTGTCAGCCCTTAAAACTGTTGCCAATTCCTTGCTATGGTCAACTGGTTGTCAACCCTCAAATTGTTGCCAATTCCTTTCTAAGGAAATTATGACAAGGGAGGGGCTGGACATAGGTCAAAGAATCATTTAGTTATAGTAAACCGCCTAATTTGTCATAAAACTTGAGCTCGTGCAGCCGGGTATCGGTCTCCAAAATTCTACTAGCATAAATGTTCAAATGAAGCGAAAAAGATGATATATTTTTTATAGATACTTGCATTGAACTCTGGTAGATAGCTAGTTAGAACATTCCCAAACATCTCTGAGAGGCAAGCACCATATACAGCTTGGTGTATGTGAATAAGTGATAACAACAAGGTGAGTGGAATTGGTAGTGAAACTAATGTAGAGCATATACTTGTAATGAGGTATGAAGACTTGGCAGAGTAGCTAAGAGATTGATCTGGCTCCACTTTCATGACCAATTAGTAGACGCGGTTAGCGACAAGATCTTGTTTCCAGGGTAATTTTGGATCTTAGAGAGAAACAAAAATGTAACTACTATTTGTTTCAACACCGGAATCTCTCCCTGGGTTGCCTTCAAGTTAATTGCTACCGCAAACAATGCTAGTCTTTTTTTTTTCCAAGTCATTTAAAGCTGTTCTCATCACTAGCTTTAATACTTCTGGTGGAAAGTAGTGGGTGCAGCTTTTAGTTACGATGGTGCCTACAGGGTGGTGGGATGATGATAACAATAAATATATCATTAACGCAACAGGTTATGCATGAAAAGAATTTTGAAAATAATGCACCAGCTTCTTTAAAATTTGTTTTTTAAAACTTGGAGTCTGATGGAATCAAGTCCTTTGTATAGCGAAAGGGTTCAACCCATGTAGTCATGCTCTACAGTGATAAATTGTGATCACTCTGGTGCTGTACTTAGGATGGTTGTTTAGTTTTGCTATGTATGTGCTACTAAGGCCAGCGCTTTAAACCTTTGTAGTTGATTCAGTTTTCTTCTTTTTATTTAATGACATTGTTAAAAGGCTGATACGTTTCTTTTTCATATTTGATTTGATTGGGAATGTCCAGGGCATTTCTAATTTCATTATCACAGCAGCCGGCTTATCTTGCGTGTGGCTGTTGACATTTCTTTTCTCTTTGCTCCTTTCTAATATTACGTTGTAATCATTATCACTTGTTCCATTTCTTATGTGGTTAAAAACATAATTCCTTCCGTTCATAAAGATTCATTCTTGTCATTTGCAGCGGAGATAATTACGTTTGACAATTGTGTGGTCGTCTACAAGTTCGTTCAGGACCTTCACTTTTTTGTTACTGGGGGGGATAATGAAAATGAGCTAATGTTAGCTACAGTACTTCAGGGATTCTTTGATGCTGTTGGACTTCTTCTCAGGTCTGACAATTATTTTTTACTTTTCCTTATTCTGGTTTCTACGGTTATCAGCTGGTTGTCTACATTCTCACACTTGTTTCCTGCTTCAGGAATAATGTCGACAAGAGGACTGCACTTGAAAACCTGGATTTGATCCTCTTATGCATTGATGAGATTGTTGATGGAGGGTATGTTCATAATCTATCATTCACTTGTTCATAACCTATCATTCACTTGTTCAGTTGGATTTTGGAAACTGTCAGTTGTATGGTAACTTGGAATATCTAGTCTTATAGGCAGACCCCTGATGAAGATTTTGTCCATGATTGTGTATCAAAAGAACGGGGTTGGGCAGCGGGAAGTCTCAGGTTGGCGTTCAGGCTTATGGGTTTTCAGCAAAAAGTAAAACTGAAAATAGAAGGAAAACCTCTTGTCTTGTGTAGGACTTACCCAAGTTGAAGCAAAAATGCCAAATGCCTTTAGAAAAACCCTTAGTCTATCATATACCTCCCTAACAATTAGCTGTTTTATCATAGAAGGGGACATAACATAGCAAGGTCATTTTCTGTCGATATATTATCTGCAGTAGAAAACCAGGACTGATAGCTAACCCTGGATCCTGTATGACTTTCTTTGACATACTTGCCCACCTTATTTTCTTGACTGCCAACTGACCAATCTCTCAATTTGATTACCTCCTCGAATACGAAAAGTGACCAGATCAAATTCCTACTATCTGCTTAATCTTCCATTGCTTCTGTCAATAGCTCCTCCACCCTACTTACACACAGACTTGAATGTTTCTTATTGGTGAAAAGCAGGACCTGGAAGTATGAAGCTAAGTCTTGGTGCACTGTGCTTATGTTCTCATTCTTTTTACAGTGTGCTGCATGTTATTTCTAGTGGAAGTTCTCTTATGTGATTTTATCGATCTTATGTAATTCAGAGTCATATCGCAAGTATTATTTTATGTGCCTTTTGCGGATGTTGATTTTGTTTCTTGCATAAATAACTAACCGACAACTGAAGTTGCTCTAAATCAAAGTGGAAACAATTATAACTATTTTGATTCAGCTATTTAGAGTCTTAGACTGGTGATTTGAGCAAAAAGCTTGTTTGGGTCTGACTTCAGATGTCTCAGATCTTTTCTGCTGGGGTTGCAGGATCGTTCTGGAAACAGAAGCAAGTGTCATTGCTGGGAAGGTTGCAAGTTCGGGGGGTTTGGATGGGGCAACCTCATTTTCTGAGCAGGTATCTTTTTTTTCCTTGAAAACTTATACGAGGTAGTAGAATTTTTATATGCGTTTTGTTTCCTCAATTTTGTACTCTCCAATCGGGGGTTTCCTCCCTCTTTTCACAGACTATATCTCAAGCATTAGCCACAGCACGAGAACACTTGGCGAGATCTCTTCTCAAATGATGTGGCTGAAGGATGATTAGTCTGCAAAGTTCAACAATGAATCTACTGTCTGCCCTCTTTTTCATATTTGAGTTGTGTGAAGATCCTGTGCCAAGCTATATCCCCTCTTCGTCGTCTGCAGGTTTTGATAACTCTAGTCTCAATTGGCAGTAGATTATCTGGCAACTTTGAAGTGTTAAAAACTCGTGTATGTGATGGGTTTTCTTTTTTCTCCTCTTTTTGTTGTTGTGGGTTTTGAAATCTGATTCTAATCCCAAGTTGCAGCCACTCAACTTATATCAGAAGTTTGAAATTCTTGCATGATATGTTTTTCTTTTCTCTTCTCTTTTTGATATATCGCGGTGTCTTGAAATTTCAATCTAACTCTAGGATGGTTGATAAAGGCAAGCTGAATGATTGCCATGCTAGGTTCCGGTTTGTCTCTAGAGCCTGGAATCATGCTAAAGCTTAATTTTGCGCATGATTGTCGAATAGCATGTTACTTGATTGACGTTAGCTTCTAGGCATTTTGTTGCTCTACAACTATAGAGTGCTCGTTATCTAGTTCGTTAACGTTAAAGTTGGAAAGACCTTACCTTGCTGTTGACTTTGATGCTTTTCTCTGATTATTAATAAAAAAATGCGTTACTTTTGTTTGTGGTTGTTCTAGGGCTTATATGTTATATGAACTATGATCTCTCTGTGTGTTTATGATCTTGATGTTTTTGGGCACAATCAGACAACCAAGTGAAAAGAGGCTAGATGCTTCACCCTTGGTTTAACATAGATTTTCTACATGAAAAATTGCAAGACAGCCACTGAGTCAACTAATCCATAAACATATGTCCTTACCCAGTTAAAGCAATAGCGACTGCAATAATTACAGAACATAAAAACCAAGAATAGCAAAATCAGTAAAACACAAGCTCCCTCCCTCTCCCTCCCCTCAATCATAAATCTCAAGAACCTCGTAATCTTTTTTGAGCATAAGGAACCTCGTAATCATCTTCATCATCAACATAATCTTGAGAGGAGTTGATGGTATCATGCAACATCATCAACATAATCTTGAGAGGAGTTGATGGTATCATGCAACCAAGTCCATCGCCAATACCTGTTCTTCTCAACACGCTCCTCCTCTCGTCGACACTCAAACAAGCAACGAGCTAGAGCTAGAGCGGACCAGCTAGAGCTTGTGATTCTCTTCGCTATTATTAAAGGTCCTCTTTTTTCAAAAGGAGTTTAAAAAATTTTTAACATTCAAGCCCCTCACCCTCTACTCTTATTTATATCCCACTGTAATAAACAAGGACTATTGGATTAGTCTTGAGCACCAAAAATAAATCTCAGCCATTTACTATATTTGTTACGAACTAATCGGTTGGTCAATTGGTTGGTTAACTGATTAGTTTCTAATATATTTAATTTCTTTATTGACTTATTGACTAGATTTTTTTTAATTACTTGGATTTTTGTGGGCCTACTCTTGGCTTGATTTTGGGCTTCAATAATTGGTCGAAAACTTAGAGAGTTTGGTTCTTTTAGGCTCTTATCCATTAATTCTTCATTAACCTGCAAATTAAGATAACAACACTTTGTTAGTAAATATTTGTTCAAGATAAAATAGATAATGATGATATAAAAATATAATAAAATTTAATGGTTAGCAAGCTATTCAAAATGCAGAGGTTTTGACTTCCCATAACACCCAAAAAATCAGCAAGACCTATAAGTCATCCTTTATTTTTTTTAAAAATAATTTGTGATTTCTTTTAAACAAGTGGTGGAATCATGAAAAGTTTACCAGATACGTGTCAATGACACTTGTAGCTGTTAACTATGAGCAATACATGTTAAATATTAAAATCATGTGTTAACTTTATGAGTTAGATGTTAAGCATATGAGATAGTTGTTATGTTTCAGAAACATGTGTTAAGCATATGAATTATAAACTATTTCTTTGAATAAGTTATATGTTTTTATTTATTATTTATTATTTATTCTGAATATTTTCTAAATATGAGCAACATTGCCTTATGTTGAACTCGCAATGTAAAGATAGTGCTCCCACGTCTACATGTAGTTCAGATATGATTCCTAATGATAACCCATTTGGGGATCACGTTATGATGATTGGTGACATAATCAGCAATACAGATAGGATTCCTGTATGGTGGAACACTGCTTTAAGTGAAGGACAACTATTTGACAGTGTGAAAGAGTTAAGATTAGCTTTGCAATATTATTCAATAGCCAAAAAGTTTGAGTACAGAGATTGAAAAGAATGAACCAAAGTGTCATTGATTTTTTGCCAATTTAAGGAAACCAAAAGTTGCCTCTGGATGTCGTTTTCTTCTCCTCCTAGAAATAAAACTAGACTTGCTATAAAGAAGTTCGTGAAGAATCACACTTGTGGTCAGCATGATAACAATGCTAGCCATTCAAAGGCCTCTCGAAAATTCATTGCGACCCAATTACAACCCATGTTAAATATTTAGCCGGACATCTTCCCTATTGATGTGGACAAAGAGTTTCTCAAAAAGTACAAACTAATGATCGAGTACAATAAGATATGGTGGGGGTAAAGAGTGAGCACAAGAGCAGCTATATGGTGATGTCTATGAGGCATATGATCATTATTGTTACATTTAAATAGTATAAGTTAAGTATTTTCATTGCTTGTTAATTTTAACATTTATATTATAAATATTATAGATAGGAGGACAAGGTTAGGGAGACAAATCGAGGCATCTATAGTTGCATTGAACGAAGTGAGGAAATATTTACAAGTCTCTTTATTTGCTATACCACTTGTATAAATGGTTTCTTGAGTGGATGTAACCTCCTTATATTTTTGGATGAGACTGTTTTAAAAGATCGATTCAAATGTATACTATTCAGTGCTACAGCATATGAAGAAAATTAGGAGATATTTCTACTAGCCTATTGCATATGCGATCAGGAAAATAATATTAACTGGAAGCGGTTCTTACAAGGCTTGTGGTCTGTACTCCATGAAAGGCCGAGAACCATGCAATTCTCCACATCAGCTAGTTATACTTTCTGATGTGAATAAGGGAGTTGGGGGGTAGCTATTAGAGAATTTTTCTAGATGTTCTCCACTCCAGATGAGCTCTACATCTCGTCGAGAATTTTGTATTAAAGTTGAAGGATTTGGAACTGAAGTCGAAAGACACACAAGTTTTATAGAAGTTATTGCAATCAGCTTGTTACACATATACTAAAGCAGAATAGGATGATTATATGGATGATAATCACATTTTATTATAATTTTATACCCTTATTATCTATTTTATATGAATAAATATGCCACTAATAATTGCTTTTATCTTTAATTGCAGGTTAATCAAGAATAAAGCCCAATATCTCTTCTCTCAATAAAGCCCACGAATTAATGAAAAACATCAGCAAAAGTTCAAAGAGGAAAATGATTTTAGAGTTGAAGTAAAAAGAAAAAGAATCAAGCCATGAAGCCCATGAAGCCAAATAAAATCATTCAATAATTAATGAAGTGTTAAAGCCCAAAATTGCCAAGAAATTGTCCAAGGCCCAAGCCTAAGAGCAAACCCAAGAGGAATCTACGGACAGCAACAGGAGAGGACTGGGTATCGATACCAGCATCGATACCCCTATCGATGCTGGTATCGATACCTCCGTCATTCTGTTACAGATCTATGACTAAAATTTGCTTATTTTGGATAAGATTTTAATCCAATGGCTCTCATTCACTGATGTTTACTATAAATAGGGGTAGAGAGTAAGAGGTTAGAGTTGTAAAAAATTTTGTAACTCCATTTGGAGAGGAGGGCTACTCTTAATTGAGAAGGCCTTCTAAATTTGTAACTTTTGTTACAATTAATAAAAATAATTTTTTCTCCACTTCAAATCTTCTTCTCTTTGTTGGATGATGATGATGGAGATGAAGAAAAGTTTGAAGATTTGCTTTTCTTTTATTTCTCTCTTTTATTTCTTTTTAGTAATTTCTTTATTATTGCTTATTAGTTAGATTTACATTCATACTTGTAGTGTAGATTTATTTTCTTATCTTTTTATTTCTTTTTGCACTTTAATTTGTAGAATAGATTTATTTTTTGCATTTAATTTTTATAATTTATTTTGTAGTTTAGATTTTAATTCTTTGTAGTTATATTTATTTCTTGTTCATAGTTCAGATTTTTCTTTTCTTTTTATTTTTGTAATTAGTTCTTTTTCTTCTTGCTTTTATTTCTTAAGATGTTCTTGTAGGAATCTTAGAATTGTATGAAACTAGTTTAATTTTCTTTATATTGTATGGATTATTCTCTTACACTTAAAATGTTCATGTTTAGAATAATCAACTAGAAAACTAATTGGTAGAAGAAGAATTTGATAATCTATGCTTATCTTAAATGGTTTGATAGGTTATGCTTATGAATGAATTCTAGGATTATTATCTTGTTATTGTTCTTATCATGAATAGTAATTTTGACTTAGATGGTAATTTGATAGGTTATACTTTCCTTAAATGGTTTGATAGTCTATGCTTAATATATCTAAGTTAAAATATGATAAAAAGAGAATAGTTTGTATTTTATAATTGATATTAGCTAGTGGATTCAATTCTAGATTTCTCATATCTTTAATTGAATCCTCCTTCTTTTGTTTTCTTGATTTTTCTCTTTTTATTCTTGCTTTTATTTTATTCTTTGATTCTTTCTTCTCTCCTCTAAAATTCTATTTATTGTCACTTGCATATATTCAAAACCATCACTCATCATATCTCTTTTCATAATCACACTTATTCTTTAATCTTATTTTTGTCACACACAAAACATAAGAATCAATTCTAATAATCTCTTAAAATCACCTTTCTCGTGGGATCGATAACTTTTTATACTATAACTTGATCAATTGTGCACTTACAATTTTGGTACATAATTATGACGCATCAAGTTTTTGGCGCCGTTGCCATGGAACGGTGCTAAATAGGATTTTATTATTTTAGTTTTTTAACTTGTGTGTTTTTCTTGTGAAGGAACCGCTTGGAGCTTGAAAATCTTGGATTGAAGATAAAAAACTTGGAGAATTGCTTTTAGGTAACTCTTCTTTCTAGTTTTTAATTCCACCCTTTTTAGTTAGCTTCATAATTAGAGACAATTAGGATTAAAAAAAAGATTTTATTTTTGTTGACCATAATAAAATTCACCTTTCACTTGGACATTAGCTAACAAGATAATAAATTCAAACAAGAGCTCTCTTATCACATTTGATTGTTGTTGACCATAAATAAAAAAAAGATTTTTTTTCCATCCTTTTTAGTCGCTTTTAATTTCTAGGGTTGCATTTCATATAGT